GCCAAATCCCAGAAGACTGCTTTCTTCATAGTCACCGCCGTGAAGGCCTAAAATCTTATAAAGAACATGAAGACCGCGCGAAATCGACAGACCCATTCAGCACTGGGGCTAATTATTTGAAATTTTGTATGAAGATGCAGTGCTGACGAAGTTCTGTATGAATCTGTTCTGTAACTTCTGTACTCCACGATTAGTTATTTGCATGTTCCGGCCTCATTCCTGACTCTCCTCGTCTCTTCCTTTGTCTTCTGCACATCACTTTTGCCATCCACTCCATAAGTCGTCGCCTGCTTAGGAAAGATGGTACCATCCGTTCTTTGGAAAAATTCCTTTCACTTTCTTTTATATGCTTAGTTCAGTGAAAAGATCCCCTGTTCTGTCCTTGTACTTCAATTTCTTATTCTACACCTACCTATTTTACTGCAACCGTTGCCTATATGCTCGCACTTTATAAGTTATGCTTGCAATTTCAAGCATCATTTCCGCAAAGTGAGTAACTTTAATTCCAACGCTGTAGTTCAGCTTTCAGATTTCTGTTAAGCGAAATGTGCTTGATGCTAATTCATCCCCACTTCCTCCTCTGCGACTACAAATTGGCTTAGAGACTGCACTGCGTAGCAGGCAAGCAAAGCAACTATCGACTTGTGTAGTGTAGGGCTTGCTGATGCTTTTCAAAGGCTTCGAAGCAGTTAGAAGCAAACGCCACCGTAAAACCTCAACCGACATGAAGTACTGTCCGTTCACGTAACACCATGACCACCTGACAAATTCCAAGTTCCTGAACATCCACGCTTGGTATTCTTACTAGGGTCTCTCTAAAATATCTTTTGAGAGCATATTACGCCTTGAACAGTCAATCTTATGGAAAGAAAGTCCCTATGTGACCAACGAGAACTCCGGTATGCCAGTTCTGGGTTCCAATCCCACGTCACAAACAGAATCTAGTTACTTTCTAATGATGACGTAATAAGATGGTCAAATTCTGAAGAAAATACGACCTCGAAGCTGTTTAAGGAACAGAATAGTATAGATTTTCTGAATGACTTATGTGAGTACATAACTTAATATTCCCGCATGTTACGGAGAGGCGGAATATCCTAACACATTACTTTACAAGACTGAAGTACCAATGATGCCTACATTTCCTTCCCCGGGTAGGTAAAAGTAAAGCTGTCCCTGTGCTTAATTCATTAAGCATTATGCCATGAAGAAGTAGGGGGGAGTGGCGGTATAGCTACACTATTCTTGACCTCGGAACTAGATGGAGGTAAGTGGTTAGCTTCACTCTCCGACCGCTTTATCTCCAGGGATAGAGCAGCCTCTACCCATTGGACAGGAGGATGGGAGGGCCACAGAGCCGTTTTTGACACTGCGGAGTAGAGAAAATTATCTTGCCGGGAATCGAACTTCGTAAGTTCGGCCCACAGATCATCGCTATACCCACTGAGCCATCCTCGGGGAAGGTAGTTATGAAAACAATTCTATAACAAATCTTTACTTTTTCTGAAACATGTGCAAATAGAAAAGTACTTACTTCTGGGACGTGACGCCGCGTAGAGTGGTAGAAGTTTATTGATGTATCAGAGGAATGTACTACCTCCTTCTTCATGGTTGAGGGATAAGCAAGCAACCAAGCAACCTGAAAGAAAAATGATGCACACAGTGATTCTTGCTAATTAATGAGTTGGCTTTCTCTTCGATCCAGAAGACTAAGGACAATACGTGAATCCTAAACGTCAGTGAAATTCTACCAGACTACACAGCGTCATGTCCCAGACGATAATATTCTTCACAGACCCTGACGTGAGCACGTCAAACTCAGTGTGTAAAAAAATTAGGTGCTTTCAGTCTAATTTCCTTATTTTTTTAAAAAGTACGCTTATGATATCACCAGGCTGTCTGTGTCTGTGAACTCCCCCCGTCAACTTTTGAATTCCTGAACCAATCGTCATGAAACTTGACATGTATATCATGGCAACTGAGCCCATCTCAACGGCGTACTTCGTAAATCCCTCCCATCAGTCTGTGTCTCTATATGTATCCCTCCTATCGTTGCTAGGCAATGGCTCGGTATAAACGTTACCGCGGCAAAGAATACATATGCAACAATAAACGAATTTTTGGACGCGTCGTTTTCTATGCTCTCTGTATCGTATCAAAGGAAAGTAGGTGATTAGCTCTTCCTAGAACTTATTGTAGAATGATGTAATCTTTTTAAAAAGGACATAATGTGAATATTGGTCGATATTTCGAAAATATACAGTTTTCTTCTTAGTGACTTGATCTCAGATGCCCTCAATCTGTTTTCTTCACTCAGAATGAGGTGCCAAGTATCCAGAAAGCGAGGGAAATAAACACAGAATTGGAGTGTATAGAAGAAATGACAGATGAACCAAACAATATAATAAGAAATTAAGTTAAAGTGAGAAGGAAAATAGGAAATTAGTTTACCTTTCCACCGAACCGGCTGGAGTAGGGATAAGGTTCTAAATTCGTATTTCGGAGGTGTTCGGTTTGAATCTCGATGGTAAACCTGCCATCCTGAATGAGGTTTTTCGCCGATATTCCTGGGTCCCTCCATGCAAATACCATAATTGTATTTCGCTTAGTACATGGTCGCTTCCTTTCAGATCTCTTCCAATTCATCATTCATCTACCACATTTTCACTAGAAACTGTATGTTCTGGACAGGCTTGATGAATAACAGCAACAAAATATATTTTTATCTAAATAACTATTCCTTTAAACATATAATTTTTTCTTCTAGGAAAGTGTATTTTAAATGTTTACAA